AGGGGCCTGGAAGGAGAATGCAGGGAAAGGGATGGGGAATAGGATGCAAATGGGTGGTGTGAGGGAAGGGTCGGGTCAAAACAGGTCTCTGGATCTTGGAGAGCCAGTGGCTTCAGCAACACTTATAGGGATGATGGAGTTTTTTCAACACTTATAGGTATGATGGAGTTTTTTCCTCGTTTTTGCTAGTGCTGGCTCTCCAGTGCCTTGGAATCCCAGCTGGTGACTTGCTTTTGCTAGCTCCAGCTCAGCTCCCTCACGCACATCCCCCTCCGCCCTTCCCTCACCTCCCTGCTAAATGTGCTTCATCCCTTTGTTATCTGCAACAATAGGAGGTGATAAGGAGAAAAAAAACAAACCCTTCATTTATGAATGAGCATAAAAGTTAAACTGGCTCCTTTTTTCACACTTGCAGATCGGCCAGAGCTTTAGTTAATGTGTATTTGGAGTCTCTCGTGCCCTGTGGGGTGGCACTCTGTATAGGTGTGTGGGGAGGAAAAAGGGGGATGCTGGCTTAGCTAATGGTGGTTGGGATGGGAAATGAGAAGCTTTGGCTTTTCTTCCTCTGCCAACATGGTTTTGTCATGCACACAGCTGAACACACCAGCTCCGGGGAGGCCACATCCATACTGGTGGTGGGAAGTACCACCTCTGCCATGCTGCTGTGCCACAGAGGTGGGTGCAGGAGGGTGGAATTAGCACTCAGGGCTCCGTTCTTCAGTCTTGTACCAGCCACTCCTGTCTTATCTCCCAGGTGTCAGTGTTAACTTACTGCAAACTGTCCCGTAGAAAGCCATGAGATCCCCAAAAGAATGAACCCAGTACCCGAGTGAATCTGTGTTTGCTGGGGGTGGGGATGTGAGTGTATTTCTTTTTCCTCCAGGGAAAAAAAACAAAACACAACCTTCTGTGTTCTAGCTGTGACTTGGGGGCAAGCTCCTTCTTGAATGGCAAGACCTGGGCCTGAAGCAGTGATGAGTGAAGTATAGTCTGAACTGGTATTGCTGAGACCTTGTGTCTTTGCTCTGACCAGGGCATGATCATGTAATCTTCTCTCTGAGCTTATTCAGGCTAAGTTCATCTAAAGCAAGCAGCCTTGCTGCTGCTTGAAACTTCTTGATGATCCCCAAAAAATATCAGGAGAGAACCATAAATTAGCAATTTCTTTTACTGGGGGAAGAGCAAAACCTCAATGTGAAAAGCAAGTAGTGCCAACATTTGTTTGGATTCACATAGCTCAGCTCAGCACTGAGCTGGCACTGAGAGGGGTTTCCTGGTTCCCCTCCCGTGTGGGACGTGTCTCACAGAGCTCTGGATACTCTGCTGCTGTTGCTTCTGTGTTTGTAAACGCAGTGCAGGCTCTGTGAAATGGAGTCTGAGCTGCCTGGCCCTCAGGCACCTCACCCACGGCTGGTTCATGTTCTTTCTCAGCTGGTGAGTGCCAGCAGAGCCAGGAATGGCTTTGGAAGTGAGCTGTGGTGTTGGGCCTGGCTGTGGCCTCTGCCCTGGATGAAGTGTGGCTCTTTTGGCATTGGGAGGAGAAAGGCTGGGCTGGAAAGGATAGAGAGCTGTGCTCTAATCGGGTTTCTGTTCTTTTCCAGGTGTTGGTGACAGCTTTGCTTTCATTTCCCATGGAGAAGGAAGCTCCTACAGGGAGTATGTGCCTAGGCAGGTGGTTACGGTGGTTTCTACTGAACAAAAGCCACGTGGTTTCCGTTAAGGAAGCAGGGAAAACAACTCACTTGCTAATGCACTATTTGATGAGTGTCTAGATGAGTCTTGAATGTTTTCTTAAAAGACTTGCAAAGTCAAGTTCTGGCAGTAGTGTATTGATGGAGCAACTCCAGGGCGTGGTTGTACGAAGCCACAGAACAAAGCATCCTGGATGTGTGTGGGATACAGGAGTCACAAATCAGTGTGGAAGTCCAAAGGTCCATTTAATAAAGCTGTTGTTCTTTGAAAAAAAAACAAAAACCCAAAACACTTTTATTTAAGTCTTATCTTTAGACTGTCACAACTTGAAGAACGCTGTTAGGGTTAAAAAGATAAACAGGAATGTCTGAACAGCCAATAAACAAAGGGGAGCGCCTTACCCGAACTCGAAAAGGCCACAAAACTCTGCTGTGCCACCAGGTTCAAAGGAGCTTTAGAGCTGTGAGTGGTGAAAAGTCATCTGTGGGAGACAAGAAGGGGGGAATTCAGGCTCAGAGCTGTGTCTGAAGGCAGAGCTCAGCTCTCGGGGGAGTACAGTTTGACCAGGTGCTGCAGCTCGGTGGCGTAGCCGGTGACGGGGCAGCGCTGGTGGCTCTTCACGTAGGCGTAGGCGCAGCGGTAGCAGAAGACGAAGCCCGAGGTGGCCAGGGCCGTGGCGTTGACCCGAACCTTGCGGCACAGGGGGCACAGGCTCCTCAGCCTGGGCAGCAGAGCGGAGGCAGCCCCGCCGTCGAGGTGCACCGGGGGCGGAGGGGCCGGGAGCGCCGTCAGGGACTTGATGGTCTCCTGGTTCTCTGAGGAATACCACCAGTCCAGGAACTGGAGGAAGAACATGCTGACGGACAGCCCAGTGGACAGGGAGAAGGCAACGCCACCCAACGTCTTCCTCACTGCTGACTGCACTCGGGTTTGGATGCTGTAAAAGAGAGAGGAGATAAGGAGAAATGGTTACTCCTGCACATCTGTCCAGCTGCAAACCACTGCCAAAAGGCCTCGGGGAGTAAGATGCTGCTTTATACAGCTTCTGAGTGTGGAGGGAGTTGGCCAATGTGTCCCCTGTCTGTAACGAGGCACGTGCTGCGATGTTTCTCTGAGGTCCTTTGTGCTCTAAGAAAGCTTCAAGTCCTGTTTTGTTCAGAAGTCTAAACTGGAAGAGCCTGGATTGAGGGGACCTGGACCACAGAGCATTTCAGTAGTGGGCTGTTGTTTTACAGGATGTTAAGCGTGCTCATGACTACCTGCTGCTCAGAAAAATCAAAGAGCTAAGTTTCAGTCCTTTTAGCCACACTGGTGCAGTCTACTCTTGTTAGAGAAGCACAAGTGTAGACTGAGCAGGGTAAAGGCTGGTGTGCCAAAAAAAAAACCCAAACACGGCCATTTTCTTACTATAAAACCCCATGCAGCTAATCCCTGCTACTTGCTTCCTTATTTCCACTAATGATACTCCTTTCTGGAGCACGTTTTTGTGAGAGATAAACTTCAAGAACTGGTGGAGAACAAGTCAGTTTTACTTGCAGCATCACCCCTGAATTAACACCCCCCCAGAAGTCCCCGGAGAGCAGCAGCTAAGCCCTGTTCTGACATACCTGGGGGTCTGACTCGAGGTGTCTCCAGCCGATCTGTTCTCCAGGGCCTGGATATCCTCTGCAGTCAGTCTGACGAGGCGCACGCCTGCCAGCCGCAGCATGGGGGAATGATGCTCAGCTTTCCCGAGGATGTAGCTCAGCTGCTGGATGAGAAACCAGCCCTCCCAGGTCATGTTTACGAAGGGGTAGGCGGCCAGAAAGGCTCTGTAAAAGCGCTTCCAGGACGAGGACGGAGGGTGGATGGAGTACTCGTCCTCCTCCCTCAGGCTGGACACCAGCTTCTCCAGCTTTCCTTTCAGGTAGGGAACAAGAACCAGCAAGAGGAGCGACTTCCAGTGCTGCCCCTTCGGCAGGCCAGCGGTGGCCAGCGGCCGCTCTCCGCGGTCTCCGGCGGGGATCCTCTTTAAGCTATAGAAGTTCTCCGAGAAGGAGGCGCTGCACCTGGCCAGGCAGTGCTGCTGCAGCAGCAGATCCAGCAGGACGTAGAGCTCATCGAACCAGCGCCAGAGGAAGCC